AACATCATATGATGATGTTCGTCCGATAAAGGTTAAAGTTAAAGAAAAATCATCACCAATGCTTATGATTCAGAATTAAAAGTGATGCATGAGAGCATATGAAGTAATTTAAGTTAGACCTGTCAAGGATGTGTGATTGTAATACTGCTCCATATCACTAATTGTTATGGGTGTGCAGTGACTACCCCAAAACCCACATATTATCTTCATGCCACCGGGATGGTCACACCACTGAATGCTAATCCAAATGGAAGACTTGCCAGCCATAAAATAGTAATGTTTTCATTTGTGATAAAATGTGTGGCATAGTACTAACTAGAATTTGCACACTGGCATGAATTAGGCTAAAGGCAAGCAGTGGTTTGTAGAACATCTGCTGAAATAAACTATTTTTACTGGCTTGTATTGTTTTCTGTCCAAAACATCTTTGAGGTTGCATCATTATCATTAGATAGTGAAATAGATCATTTTGGGATCACTTGGATGTTATGAGATCCTATTTTCAGCATCGAGTAGGAACCAAAACTGTCATACCAGAGATTTCATTCAACACAGGATTTTTCTTCATGAGGTTGCTTACTCAGGGTATGATGCACTATCAGGGATGTTTTAGACAAGTTTATATTGATTGTTAAATGTATGTGTCTCTTCCAGAGGATATCCAGATACATTTCTATGAAGAGCGAGATGGGAACATTGTTTGGGAGGGTTTTGGTGACTTTCAGCCAACACATGTACATAAGCAGGTTGCCATTTCGTTCCGGACACCACGCTACAAGTTGTTAGAAGTGGAAGCTCCTGTCAAAGTGAATATCCAACTGCGTCGGCCATCAGATGGAGCTACAAGTGAACCTCTACCATTTGAATACCTTCCCCTCGATTCAGGTAGGCCTGCATTTTGGTCTCTTCGCAAGGCACTTGGAAAGAAGGGCAACTACTCCATGTTTTCAAGTATCTTGGCTTCCAACACAGCCCTGCTCACTAGTGGGCCTCCAAGAAATGGTGCAGATATACCTCCAGCCCCTTGGATACACGTGGTCAAGCCACAACAGGCAGGTTCAGAATCAGCTATATTTCCTGATGGAGGTGAATTAACAAAGCCAGTTGAATCTGAGAATGTTATTGCTGCATCTAATGTAGATGGACCTCCAGCTCCTGGTGTGGTACAGGAATTGGTATGCAAGTCAACTGCAGTAGAGAATGGAAGATCCAAAATTGAAAATAAACTTAATGATGTAATTATAGGTGATATAACAGATAAGAATGATAAAAAATCAAGTGGCTCTAATTATGCAGCAATAAATAAATGGAATAAAACTGCTTCAGGAGAAATGAATGCTAACGCTGACATTCAGTATGATGTTGAGAGAGGGGATGACAAAATATCTTCCAGTGGTAATGAGGATGTTATTTCCCAGGGAGAGACTTGTCGGTCATTAAATGAACTGCTCTCTCAAGTGGCTGAGTTGGACGAAATATATTCAGACACTCAGGCACGTCTGTTACAACAAGGAGTTACTGAGACAGTTGCTCAAGATAGTCTCTCCCCTAATTTAGATGATAGCCAGTCTCCACAGGTTATTGAGATGGATGTTGAAGATTTGTATGATGATGACAATCAGACGTATTCTAGCTTACAGCTTGCAATGAAGAACCCAATTGAACTTACGGATTTAGCGCCTGGGCGTTATGAAGACATCATACCTCATGGTTTATCTAATCAGAATAACAAACGTGATATCTCTTCATCAACATCTCTAGTTCCCGAGTCTCCTGACTCCAAACTTCCTCCCTTACCCCCAAAGAGGATTCGCAAGAGTCCTCCCACTCCCCCAGCAAGACCTGATCCTCCGGTTTTCCCACAGGAACCTCCTATAACACAGGCTCCTGACAAGACCCTGCCTCCAACACCTTATGGCACTGCTGCAAAGCAGTCAAAACCAAGCCTATTCCAAAAGTTCTTCTCAAAGAAATCAAAACCATCAAGTAAGAAGGAGGGTACACTTACACCAAGAGCAGTTAGTATATCTAGGGAAGGAAGTGTGAGTAATGTATCGACAGCTCTGCCCTTAAGGCGGGGCAGTGATCCTGTGGGGCAGCTCAGTTCACCACCCCAGGCCCAGCCAGAGTTAACAGAGGCTGAGCACTATGCTTTGTATACAGATGTGGCTCCTCATGCCACAGTCTCAGAGTTCGATGAGATGTCCTTTTATTACAGTCCTGTAGAGGGTGGCAATATTATTATTCCAGGAGAGAATATAGTCAACAAGAATCGTGATATTTTCACATAGCCTTTAACCTGATTGTTGGAAGCAAGTTCCATAATATTTCCTGTTTTGTAAATGTATAAAGTGATTGCTAGTCTGATGATGCCAGTGTTTGGGATCTGCATTGAGTCTTTGAAAACTTGCCTTATTTTGATTAGTGAATAATTTTTCTACAGAACAAGTTGTGGTAGAATTTAGCTTGTTTTCATTAATTTTGTATGAAAATAGTGAGAATTTTTATGATTAACTGTCTTTCAAGAAAGTAACCATAGTTATATGTACAGTGTAAATGAATTTGTAGCAATAGTATAAATTTTTATGTGAATTCATTGGCATTACAAGTTATTGTGTCATGTTTGTGGTTTTCTGATATTTTATACTCGCTTATGTGAACAAATTTTTATAAATGTTGCCTTTCAATGGGATCACAATTGATATTCTTCACATTTTATATGCTGTTTCCCAGGTGGTGTTAATGAACTTCTGTTATTGTTTGGGTACCATTCTCACTGAATGCCTTATTTTAATGTTACACGTTCCATTGTTTTTGTTTACATTTTTTTATTTCTTTATGTTGTTTATAGATCCAAATGTATTAAAACGAAAGAGGCACAAATATGGTGGCGAGATGAATCCTCATACTTTACAGCAATTAGAGGAGTTGGAAAAGTTGAGTAAGTACCAGCCACTATATTGTTCAGCTGGGTTTCTTTCTCAAGCTCACTTACCTGAGAAAATTGTAGACAAGAGTATTTTATGAAATTAGTTCAAGTGTATTGTGTGGTATTGCATTTTGTTGTCACAACAGATTAAAAGAGTTTTAACAAACTGAGAAATATGTGTAATGTCACTAATTTTCTGAAGGACAGAGTTTGATAGAATAAATGAATATACCACAAGTTTTAGCTCCACAGATGTTTTGATCATTAATGACCATCAAGTGGATATACACACAGAAGTATAAACTACAAAACTGTAAAGGAGTTCAGTTTTGTATGGGTTGCAGTTACTGACTTCGGACATATCCATCAACCTGTTTTATCTAGAACAACGTTTCAGAGACTTTAATTCTGCTTCCATACTCAGGCAGGAACCTACTTATTTGGCCTCAATCAGTAGAGCTAGTTCATATCTCCTGATGCCAGAACTGACACAGGGCAGAACGTATAAAGTGGACACAACATAAACCATCTTTGGGAGTTAAGACCGACATTTAAAATGCCACATTCATGGGGCCTAGCACCTATGACCACGCATAATATAATGGCCAAAGTCAGTGCAATCAGTCTGACTAAAATAGAGGTTAAGATTATAGAGTCAAATTCTAAAGAGGACAATTGTAGATAATACAAAATCAAAGATTAGGCAGTATCTGTTGACCTTTAAAATTACGGATAAGACAAAGAAAAAAATATGTACCAACCCAGCAGAAGATTAAAATTCAAACAGATGAAACTTCCTAATAACAAAGGTGACCTACAGCAAATACACCAATGCTGATAACTGTTACACAAATGAGACACATGTGCAGTATCAACATACAAATGGAACATTCCCGTATTATTTACACTGGATGGAGTTGCAATTTTGTAACTTCCTCTTGAATGATCGGAGTCCAGATGGCAGAGACGTCCATGCTGGGTTGACATCAGTTGAGCTACCAGAGATATGTTGGCTGATTCTTTGTATTTCCTGTATGTGGTATTTGATTTAATCTGCACAACTGTAGTTTCTTTGTGCCATATGATGGCCTTCTATTTATGTATGTTGGGCTGATTTTGATTTTTTGAGAATACCTTTTGTCTGGTTGTATTAGTGCATGGCCATATGAACCAAAATTTCCCTGCTGGAGACCTCAATGAACATAAGATTGCGTACTGAGTGTATGACTTACCCTCAGAGATATTTTGGACAAAGTACTACTCTCAGACTTCTCCTGCTAATGTCCAGAAATTAAAGGATTGCAAGATGAGAACTGTCTCTGTCAAGGTATATGACTGCATGACTTCAGCCCATGGACCAAGGCATTATTTCAGTGTGCAAAGCATATATTTTGGTTAGCTACTTGTGTGCACTATGAAATCTGAATTGCAACTTGCAGAAGAGTATATGAAGAAATTAACAGAGATATTGCAGGCAGTGATGGTTTAGTTTGGAAGAAAAGCTGATGGCAAAAGTATGTTGGAAAAGGTATCACAGAAGACAGCACAGTGTTAGCAACATTTTTAGAACAAGAAATGAAGACTACTTGCAATATGATGAGAAGTAGTCTTAAATGGAAATTACCTGGCAGGTTGGAAGCTCTTGTCATGCAGTACCTTGGTGAAGAAGTTCGAGATTCTGTAAAGAGTTTGAAGAGAAGTAGTGATCATGAAACACAGGAAGTGACCTGTAGGATAATGGTGATGGCTCTGATAATGGAGTAGTAGCAACATTAAACAAAGTGCGTGAAAACATTATTGAAATGATGATGTGATTAGAACATCAGACTGATTGAATCTGATCAGCATTAATTATTATGCTTTAAGGAAGCACTGTAATCAGTTTGAACAAACTAAATTATTTGTCTCTTTCAATAAAGAAGCACGCAGTGTGACTTTGCACTAATCTCTAGCAGTGGAATAAAAAAATAACTAATACGCGTCATAAATTGGATGTGTGTGCTGTAATTGTGTGCTTATACATGAAATGGATGGGTATTCAAAAACTCAGTATATATTAGTTTTGCGTATGATGTGATGAGCCTGTAACATTGATGTTGAAGTTTCCCGTTAACAGTCACATAGTGAAGTTTGCTGTCTTTGTGACCTCTTTCTCTTTAACTTTGCATAGTTAAAGAATATATTAAGAACAAAAAATGAAATTATCCCTTGACAGCTGCGATCCTTAACTGATAACTGGATCATCCAGAAATGTGGTACTGGTCTAGTCTTGTACATAAACAGAACTTAGATATGTGTACTGAAAATATGGTTAGTCAAACCTTTAATGGAAAGACTTTGACTTAAGGTCCATGTTTTTATAATCATCATTATTAAGGTATATTATGCAGTTTGTTATCAAGTGGCAACATCATGTAGAGTTCGTTAGTTTTGTGCATATACAGGGTGTATCGGAAAGTTCCCGGACTAGATCAAAAAAGAAATGCTGGCTTAACTTACTCAATTCTGGTTGCCATCCCCTTCAAAATATACTCCTTGGGAACGTATACGGCGATTCCATTGTTTTTTCCGCACTTCAAAAGCACCATGGAAGTAATTTTCCTTAATGCTGTCAGGTATGGCTTGTGATTCCCATTGGGTGTTAGACACTGTTTCAAAAAGTCCCTTCAGTTTAATTTTCAATTTGGGAAACAAAGCAAAATCCCAAGGGGCCAAGTCTGGCTAGTAAGGAGGATGGGGAATGATGATGATGTTAGTCACAAACTCTGTGGTCTTCAGGGACTTGTGGGCAGGTACGTTGTTGTGATGAAGGAAAAATGGAACGCATATTCAAATTTCTATAAGATCTCCTGGCAAACTCCATAACTGATCCCAATGGTGTCTGCGAGCTCACGGATTGTTTGGCAATCGGCCTCATGGATGAGTTCTCAAATTTTTCATAATTTTCTGTCATTTTGCTGGTGTTTTGTCGCCTTGAACATTCGACACCTTCAGCTGACATTCGACCAGGCTTGAAACATGAATGTCGTTCAAAAACCACTGTCTGATGTAAAGAATGTTCTTCAAAAGCCTCACAAAGCATTTCAAGGATTTTGCTAGCAGATTCACCACACTTCACGCAAAACTTGATGCAGATACGTTGCTTGATTTTTACCATCCATCGCAGACAAAATGAAACACAAAGTCAAAAAAGCATTCATGTAAAAACAGTGCATGTTCACAGCGTGGTGTCACGTGACAGACTGATGCTATTGGCTTTTGGAAGTGTTACCTTGGCCTCCCCTGTCATATTCTTTCACCAACACAGTTACAGCAATAACAGTGCAGGAACTTTCCAATACCAACTCATATCTACTCTTGTCTACTTTTTTTTCAGTCTTGGGTGGTGGCTGGTGTCTTTAACTTGGAAAGTGTGTTTTTGTCCTACTCTGCATTTCTTGAGTAAATTGCAGTAATACCATATTTGCTTGTGTACCATGCCCACCTTTTTCTGAAATTGGTATGTAAGACACAGGATACATATCTTACAAAGAACATTCGTTTTTGAACAGATAGCTCAACATTCGATCATCGCCAGTGGATTCATTGCAGTTGTATATGATGTACATAATAGTGAATATGCCATCCTCTTTTTTTTTTTTAGTAATGTGTCATGCATGGTACTGGATAGATGTGCCATTGTTTCTGTGGTAGTCTGCTGAACGGCCTCAGTAGCATATGCAGAGTTCTCAGGGATGTGCGTATTTTGTTATATAAGCTATTGTACATGTGATAAGATGAGCAAGAAATTGAGGTTAGTCACTGTGGATGATAAACTACATAATGTATGAGGCAATACTGTTTTTGCATTTTGCACTCGGTGTTAAATTCAAAATCCACAAACATTCAAACCCCCCACCCTGATAATGTCGTAGGTACTTATGTCTTACCTTTTCAAGTCACTATATGGCCCCTACCAGATGAGACTTAAAAACAATATTGTGACAGTTTATTGTAGTTCTATTGTGCTTAATTATTCTTGATATGTTTGCAGTAAATATACAAGTAGCTGATTCTCCGAGGAATCGTACTGTTAAGTGTCTACAGATTTCTTTACCTTTCCCCCCCTCCATGTTCTCCTGAAACTCTGTATGCTTGTCGTACATGAGTGCATGGCACACTTAAGTGTGATATTTTGGCATAGACTGACTGCTTATGTCAGTTGTTCTAGTGTTGGGTCAGACTCAATTACACACTTTCCAGGTGGTTTCATTTCCTCTGGTACCAATATTTTTCTATGGTGGTATTATTCTGTGATGTTTGTTTCAGGATTGGTGCAATATTGTGTACCCATATGAATGTATATTCGTTGGGATGTTTGTCATTTGTAATATAAGTGCCATGATAACACATTATGAATGTTACAACTTAACATATGATAACAGTTAATATTACAAGTTTGTTATATTTCTATGAACTAGTTAGCTATCCTGTAAATTGCATTTTCTGATAAAAGAAAATACATTTTTCTTTTAATTTTTTCTGATAATTAAAGTTGTACTTTTATATGAAATTGTTGTAGTAATATAATGGCCACTTGGACAGTATTCCTCTCCAGGGTTCCTTTCCTTATTTCTTATTTCATCTTGCTGCAGGGCGGATAGGATGTTGTATAATATAAAGGTACTGTACATTTCAGTGTGTGTTTGATTCTGTCTGTCTCTGTCTTGCTCTGCAAGTTGCTTGGTCAGTACACACTTCAGTAGGGGACAGTTGTTAAGTGTTCTCTCTTACAGTACTAGATAATGTTGGTTCTGCAGGTTAAAAGACAGGTACCTTATACAGGTGAACTCCCAATTTAATGTCCCTTGAGTTAAAGTTTTGCCTTATTAAATGTTCAATTTCAGTGATCCTAAATCAGTAATCTCAGTATTAGATTAATCCATTCAAGATTTTCCTCAGTTTAGTGTTCAGATCCACTGCTTCCAAAACAACTCTTGAAGGGGGGTCTCACTGTATTCAGAATGACATT